GTGCCTGGAGTATTTTGGAAAGCAAAGTTGGCTCTAAATAATACCAAAGTGTCGATCACCTCAAGCAAGCGCTTCGCCGGGAATGGGCCAAAATACCGCAGAGCAACATTCTTTTATTGACCGTTTGAAGGCCATATTCGTGCCAAAGGTGATCAATTCGAACAAATCTAAACTTATTCTAATATTTGATGCTATTTCCGACATTTTTTGCTTTCATTCAATAAAATTCAAAAACAAAAAATGTAAAATTATGGCGTTTGGCTTTGTTGCATTTTTTATCTCGCTTAAATAACCAAAATACCGAAAATAGAGACCACTTTCAATACCAAAAGTCCTGCAGACATAACATCACTAAATCGACATAGAATTTTATGCTGATCAAGAATATATACTATGTGGGGTCTAAAATATATATTTGAGGTTTTAAAACCAAAATGACAAACTTAATATACCCTCCATACTATGGTGGAGGATATAAAAATATGAAAAAAGCTATTGAAAAAAGCCAAAGTGTAAAGAAATATGTATTAAAACTGAATGTTTCTTTTGACATTTGTCCTATGTGTGACATTTGGTTTGCTGGGTAGCAAATTTACATAAGTACACATGAGCTTTACGAATTTAAAGCTTAATACCTGAAATCACTAAATACACATTTGAGTGTAGATTCCATGGACTTAAGCTCTTTTAATTCTCAACGCGGTAAAAATGCTCTCACATAACATCCGTCCACACTTAACTTAATAGGTTTTTAATTGACCTTTAAAGTATAATTTATTAAGTAGAACATTTTAAGATTTCTATAAAAAGAAAGGAAGTTCTGAAACATTTTCAAGTTTATTTCGATCGTTAAACGGACAAAGAATAACTTTTAAAATATTACAAACTATAAGATAAAATACTAAAAAATAGAAAATGTATTTTAAAACATTGTTATCGATAAGTTTTGTTGTGTGTTTTATAGTCGGTTCAAATGCCGGAGATTTACGTGAGTGAAAATTTTAGGGAATTCCGAAAGGAAAACCGGCCGAGAGTTTCCCATTTTCCAACGATCATAATGACAGATCAGCATTGGCAAAATATCTCAAATTGTGACTAAAAATATTAAAAATATCCTGACAAATTATTTTAGATGTAAACTAAAGCTTGAAATTATATGGAGGATGTTGGAGTTATATAGAAATTGGTTCAAAAGTCTAATTCGTTCGAAAAGACTTCAATAAATTCTGGTATAAATCATAGCCTACTTTCTCCTAAAAACGAGGACAAGTCATAAATAAGCTCAAAACTCTACTTTCGAATAGTGGCCGTTTAAAATTGGAAAGGTTATAAGTCGAGAAGTTGACCTCAAACAATCACTAAATTGAGAACATAGCTATAGAAGATGATGAATCACCAATTATATCGATAAACTTTATCATTTTTTCCAAATTTCAGCCTCCGACATAGCCAAATGCAAAATTGCCGACAACGAATGCGTTGGCAAAAAGACCATGGAAGTTCTGCAAAAATACTCCAATGGCAATCCCGACTTTGGTATGCCCAAAATATCCGGGTTACAACTGAAGAACATTACAGTGGCCCGAGCCTCTAACAAATCTCCGATACAGTTGAATTTTAAATTTATTCAATTAACCAGTCAGGGTCTTGAGGATTCAATAATCGTGAATACTTCGGGTTGGACAAAGTCTCCCAAGAATCTCGAAGCAAATCTCATATTGCCCAAGTTGGTTATCAATGGCGATTATGAAACAGATGGTCGCATTTTACTTCTGGCGCTCGATGGCAAAGGTACGGGGTATTTTGAAATGACCGACAATCAGGTGAACATCAAAGCCAAGGTGGTATTAGAAAAGCGTAGCGATGGTAAAAATTACATCAGGATTATAAAAATTAAGGCGGTTATGATACCGAAAAAGTAAGTTTTTACAGAATTTATTTCGGCACAAATCAAAATTTATCTGTTGCAGGCTCTTTATCAAAATGGACAATTTGGTCAAAGGAAGCCCGGAATTGTCGAAAACCATTAACGATGTAATCAATGACAATTGGAGTGACGTGTGGCAGGAACTGGCCCCAGGTATTAACAATGCATTGGCTCAAATCATTGAGAGCTTAGCTGCACCTGTCTTTGATAAACTATCCTACGATGATTTCTATGTAGAATAATGTAGAAAGTAGCCGTTTAGTTTAGGTTTACTAAAGCCAAATAGTGTTCAGTGTTGAAATTGAGTTGTCAATATTTTGAATCGAATTTGTGAATATGTATTTCAAATAAATGTTTAAATAACTTATTGCTGTATAGAAAAGTTGACGATAACCACTTTATTGTATAGAAAAGTTGTCGGTAGCAACTTTTTTGTATAGAAAAGTTATCGATAACAACTTTTTTTGTATAGAAAGTTTGTCGATAACAACTTTTCTCTATAAAAAATTTTCGACAACAACTTTTCTGCATAGAAAAGTTGTCGATAACAACTTTTCTTTATAGAAAAGTTGTCGATAACAACTATTCTCTATAGAAAAGATGTCGATAACAACTCTTCTCTATAAAAAGTTGTCGATAACAACTTTTCTCTATAGAAAAGTTGTCGATAACAAGTTTTTTTGTATAGACAATGTGTCGATAACAACTTTTCCGTATAAAAAGTGTATCGATAACAAAGTTTACGTATAGGAAAGTTGTCGATAACAACTTTTATGTATAGAAAAGTAGTCGACAACAACTTTTTTGTATAGAAAATTTGTCGATAACAACTTTTTTGTATAGAAAAGTTGTCGATAATAACTTTTTCTCTATAGAAAAGGTGTCGATAATAACTTTTTTGTATAGAAAAGATGTCGATAATAACTTTTTCTCTATAGAAAAGGTGTCGATAACAACTTTCCTCTATACTTTTCTCTTTAGAAAAGCTGTCGATAACAACTTTTCTCTATAGAAAAGATGACGATAACAACTCTTCTCTATAAAAAGTTTTCGATAACAACTTTTCTCTACAGAAAAGTTGTCGATAACAAGTTTTTTTGTATAGACAATGTGTCGATAACAACTTTTCCGTATAAAAAGTGTATCGATAACAAAGTTTACGTATAGGAAAGTTGTCGATAACACCTTTTATGTATAGAAAAGTAGTCGATAACAACTTTTTTGTATAGAAAAGTTGTCGATAACAACTTTTCTTTATAGAAAAGTTGTCGATAACAACTTTTCTTTATAGAAAAGTTGTCGATAACAACTATTCTCTATAGAAAAGATGTCGATAACAACTCTTCTCTATAAAAAAGTTGTCGATAACAACTTTTCTCTACAGAAAAGTTGTCGATAACAAGTTTTTTTGCATAGACAATGTGTCGATAACAACTTTTCCGTATAAAAAGTGTATCGATAACAAAGTTTACGTATAGGAAAGTTGTCGATAACAACTTTTATGTATAGAAAAGTAGTCGATAACAACTTTTTTGTATAGAAAAGTTGTCGATAACAACTTTTTTGTATAGAAAAGTTGTCGATAATAACTTTTTTGTATAGAAAAGTTGTCGATAACTTTTTTGTATAGAAAAGTTGTCGATAATAACTTTTTTATATAGAAAAGTTGTCGATAACAACTTTGCTCTATAGAAAAGGTGTCGATAACAACTTTCCTCTATACTTTTCTCTTTAGAAAAGCTGTCGATAACAACTTTTCTGTATAGAAAAGTTGTCGATAACAACTTTTCTTTATAGAAAAGTTGTCGATAACAACTTTTCTTTATAGAAAAGTTGTCGATAACAACTTTTCTTTATAGAAAAGTTGCCGATAACAACTTTTCTTTATAGAAAAGTTGTCGATAACAACTTTTCTTTATAGAAAAGTTGTCGATAACAACTTTTCTTTATAGAAAAGTTGCCGATAACAAATTTTCTCTATAGAAAAGTTGCCGATAACAACTTTTCTCTATAGAAAAGTTGCCGATAACAACTTTTCTCTATAGAAAAGTTGCCGATAACAACTTTTCTCTATAGAAAAGTTGCCGATAACAACTTTTCTCTATAGAAAAGTTGCCGATAACAACTTTTCTCTATAGAAAAGTTGCCGATAACAACTTTTCTCTATAGAAAAGTTGCCGATAACAACTTTTCTCTATAGAAAAGTTGCCGATAACAACTTTTCTCTATAGAAAAGTTGCCGATAACAACTTTTCTCTATAGAAAAGTTGCCGATAACAACTTTTCTCTATAGAAAAGTTGCCGATAACAAATTTTCTCTATAGAAAAGTTACCGATAACAACTTTTCTCTATAGAAAAGTTACCGATAACAACTTTTCTCTATAGGCAAGTAGCCGATGACAACTTTTCTCTAGAGAAAAGCTGTCGATAACAACTTTTCTCTATAGAAAAGCTGTCGATAACAACATTTCTCTATAGAAAAGCTCTCGATAACAACTTTTCTCTATAGCAAAGTTGTCGAAAACAACTTTTCTCTATAGAAAAGTAGTCGATAACAATTTTACACACAATGTGTCGATAACAACTTTTCCGTATAGAAAAGTTGTCGATAACAAGTTTTCCGTATCGAAAAGATGTCGATAACAACTTTTCCATATAGAATTAATCTCCTTAATGAAAGATTATATCCTTCCAATCTTTCCTTAAATACCACTGTATCCCCATTTTTTTGGAAAAAAATTAAAATTTAAATTCGAAATAAAAACCGTGGAAATAATAAATGTCAGTGGCTTCGGAAAATAATCAAAACAAACTTTCGTGCAAAATAATGCACCTACATTAAACAAAAACAAGAAGAAGAAGACCACCAAAAAACAGGCGTTAAACCACAAACCCATTATTATGCAATAATGTCGGGCCAACATGAAGACCACTGCCGACCAACATTGATCGGTGGAAAATCATTGAAGTGTTACTTCCACACCAAATGGACGTGGCGACTCTGCTGCTGCCACTATCAGCACAGCGTTGATCCTACAGCGAAAACATAAAAATGGTATTACATTTCAACGGAAGCTCAAGTTCATTGTAAACTTGCGAACGGTAAACATGTCCATGAAACTATGGATCGCTCTGAGAATATGGATCGGTATCATGCAACAACTGGGCGTGGTGCAGAGTATAATTGTGGAACGAAATTTACACTCCTACTATCGTCTACCCATCTCGGCTGTGAGGCGTACTAACATGACCCAGGAATACTATATACTGCAGTGTCCGTTCAAGTCCTCATTGCAGATACCCAAACCCAAAGATATGGATATTTGTACAATTGCAGGCCGCTACAAGGACGAGGAGAAGGATAAGGGCGAGAAAATAAAACCGGTGGTAGAATTGACGGGTAGCACGGCGAAAAAGAATGGGCATAGCAAAGCTGAACACAGAAATCTCAAGGCCCCCAAGGAAGTGAAATGGATAAAAATTAAAAAGAGAAAACCCAAGAAAATTGTAATGCTAGTCAAGAAGCCGCCCAAAACGAAGGAGTACTACAAGCGACCGAAAACGGAAATAACCGAACAATACAAGGCCACTAATGTCCGACTGTATTTGGACCATCCAGCCTCGGCTTCGGAGGCTAAAATTACTGTAAATGGTAAGGCGGTGCAGGTGCATGATTCCCAAGCCTCCGGTTCGTCGATGATGAAGCCGAAAATGCTACCAAAACCACTGCAAAAACCAAGGATATCCACCGACAAATCAATGGAAAAGGAATACAGAGATAATTCCCAACCACAACAAAAGCAAACAAATTCCAAACAAATGGACATGGATTTCATAGATGACGACTCATCTGAATCACAGGAAAGAGATAAAGAAGATAGGAGGTCCTCTCCAAATAGTCCCTTGAAATATTTGGCAACCAAAAATGTCTTGAAAAAGTTACAACTGCCTCACAAAGGCAAACCTAATCGTCCTCTGGATAAATCGGAAAAATTCTACGCCCAATCAAAGAAATATAAAAAAGGTTTCAAAACGAAAGGCTATCAAAATATGTATCATCGCGATGAAATCTATCAGGACCACATCTACTATGATGATCTACAGGAAAGAGGCAAATATGATATTTATAAAAAAGCGAAAAAGAAATTTTGATTTGAAATAAAAAAAAAGTTTATTAAAAAAGAGAGAATGTTTTGAAATTTCCAATTTACAGGGTGAGATAAAAAAACAACAACAAAGTCAGACGCCATAATTTTTATTTATTTTTTTTAATTTTATCGAAAAAGGCAAAAATATCGGAAATAGCATCAAAACTTAGAATAAGTTTAGATTTTTTTCGAATACGAATTGGTCACTTTTGGCATGAATTATGGCCTTTAAACGGCCAATGAAACCGTCACACGCTGCCCGAATGTTGCTCTGCGGTATTTTGACCCATTCCCGGCGAAGCGCTTGATTGAGGTGATCGACACTTTGGTATTTTTTAGTGCCAACCTCGCTTTTCAAAATACTCCAGACACAATAGTCCAACGGATTGGTATCCGGATATTTTTGTGGCAATTGTGCACTGGAAATGAAGCGAGGAACCTCATTTTGTAACCATTCTTGGGTGGCACGTGCTGAGTGCGATGGTGCTGAGTCCTGTTAGAATGTCCAAGGTCTGCGGCCAAAATGTTTGCGTGCCCAAGGCTTTAATACACCCTCCAGAATATTTTCGCGATAATATTCGGCACTTATTCTGATGTTACGGTCGATTAATATGAGCGGAGAGCCACCATCGGCTGGCTGGCGCTTGAGTTCTGTTGGCCAATCGAAGGTGCACATTTTCAGCTGACCTCTTTCGCAAGTAAACACGATCATTTTGTCTGTTTACAAACTGCTGGACAACGAATGTTTTCTCATTGGAGAAAACCAAATTCGGCAGTTCACCACCTTAGGCCAAGCAATGCAACTCTTTAGCTCTTTTGAGTCTATTTTCTTTCTGTTGCGGTATAAGCTTTTGCACTTTTGGAAATTCAATGGCTTACCCCGAGCTCATTTTTCAATATTTGCCGAATGGAATATTGCGATATGTTCAGCCCACGAGACATTTTTTGGGCCACTGCGTCACGGATTTCGATCAAGTGGCTTCTTTAGTTATCGAACCATTTCTGCTGATGTTGTCGTTTTCTTCCGTCCACTTCCTTGGTAGCGTCGGGCTACGCTACCAGCATCACTGTAATGAACGATGGTACGAGACACAAAAGGTTTATTCACATTTAAATGCTGGAGTGCTCTAACGATAACCACTTGTGGTTTTCCAGCCAAATATAAAGAAATCACACTATGACGCTTGAATTCCATCACGAATAACTTTTATTCAGGAAAATTCTCACCAAAATGCTTTTGTACGCTCGTTAACAATATAATGAGCTATCACTGGAATAATTTTAACAGCTGTCGGACGAGTGGCTTAGAAATGACAGCAGTCTGAAATTGGTTGAAGTATTTCATTTCATCCTTTAAATTTATGTAAACGAACATTGGCTGAACACATATTTAAAAAAAATAATTATAATCATTGTTATAGTCGGATATTTTTGTTCTTAAAATTGGACAAATTGGAGATTAAAAAAGTGAACAAATCCAATTAATAAAGGAGAAGAGAAAATATATATTTCAATTATTATTACGCCCTTTTCCCCATTATTAAAAATCTATTTATAAGAAAATCTATCCAGACAATGTCACATTCCTCACTAACGACCATAAACGATACCTGTCGCAGAGACCAATCAACACTTAATTTACAATTTCCTTGATTTACTCAGCCATTGGATTACTTTTACTTTTATTTGACACGTGATGGAATATAATTTCTCGCTGCTAAATCAATTAAGAAGCGATTAAAATAACACCATTATTGAATTGTTAGATTATCGCACTAAATATCGTCGGCTCTTAACTCTTTGGCGCAATAAATAATTGCACAAAACCAACAAAAACAAAAAAAAAAAACAAAAGTTTATGGTAATAACAATTAGTGGCTTTGCTAAGCACTTGCCAACAACATCGGCGTTGACTAGGTCTGGTGGCATGGATGGTGGTTTGGTAAAAAAAAAACACACACAAAAACTACGACGCATCAAGTGATTTGCATTTGAAATTGGTTTGGAACACGCAACCTTTTCTAGCTGCAGCAGAGGAAAATGCCTATACCTAAACTAATAATAGTATTTGGAAGTTTGTGGCAACAAAGTACTTGTGATAAATATATTCCGAAACGGTGTAAGTGTTTGTTGAAAAAAACTGTCGATAATGAATTAAGAGGTCATTTACATTTCTCTAAAGAGTCAAATTTTTTGGCACGACAACAAGCTAAAGTCAGTGTTTATTTTTAAATCGGAAACCAAATTTAGGGCAGAACACTGCCTAACTATATTTGTGAACTGATTTGAGTACTGGTTTATTTTGAGACGCCCCATAAATTTTTATATTCAAATTTTGGTACAAATGATAACTTACACTGTGCGACCAAAATTCGTTTTTTCTAAATAATTATGGGGGAAGGAAATCCAGCAGATTATGAAAGTAGAGCTAACAAGTTAAAAAATATCAGTCGGTTTTGTCGACAGATGTATACTCTTAGCCTATTCCATTATGTTAATACAAGATGTTGACGCTTGATACAGAAGGAGCGGACAAATATTATCCACTTCTTATCTGAACTAACTATATATAAGTCAGACGTCCGACAGCTGTTAAAATTATTCCAGTGACAGCTCATTATATTGTTTACAAGCGTACAAAAGCATTTTGGTGAGAATTTTGCAGAACAAAAGTTATTCGTGATGGAATTCAAGCGTCATAGTGTGATTTCTTTTTATTTGGCTGGAAAACCACAAGTGGCTATCGTTAGAGCACTTCAGCATTTAAATGTTAATAAATCTTTTGTGTCTCGTACCATCGCTCATTACCGTGATACTGGTAGCGTAGCCCGACGTCGAGGAAGTGGACGGAAAAAACCGACAACAGCAGAAATGGTTCGAAAAGTAAGGAAGTGACTCGATCGAAACCCGCGTCGCAGTGGCCGAAAAGTGCCTCGTGGCTTGAAAAAATGAACTCGGGATAAAGCCATTGAAATTCCAAAAAGTGCAACAACTTACACAGCAACAGAAAGAAAACTGACTCAAAAGAGCTAAAGAGTTGCTTCGCTTGGCCGAAAGTGGAAATGGTGAACTGCCGAATTTGGTTTTCTCCGATGAGAAAACATTTGTTGTCCAGATCGTGTTTACTTGCAAAAAAGGTCAGCTGAAAATGTGCACCTTCGGTTGGCCACCAGAACTCAAGCGCCGGCCATGGTGATGGTGTGGGCCGCCATAACAGCCGATGGTCGCTCTCCGTTCGTATTAATCAACCGTGTATCAACCATCAGAATAAATGCCAAATAATATCGCGAAAATATTATGAAGGGTGTATTTAAGCCTTGGGACCGCAAACCGTATGCTCCCAGACCTTGGACATTCCAACAGGATTTCAGCACGCGTCACCCAAGAATTGTTACAAAATGAGGTTCCTCGCTTCATTTCCAGCGCACAATGACCGCCAAAATCTCCGGATACCAATCCGTTGGACTATTGTGTCGGGAATATTTTGGAAAGCAAGGTTGGCACTAAAAAATACCAAACTGTCGATCACTTCAAGCAAGCGCTTCGCCGGGAATGGGTCAAAATACCGCAGAGCAACATTCGGACAGCGTGTTACGGTTTCTGGCCGTTTGAAGGCCATAATTCGTGCCAAAGTTGATCAATTCGAACAAATCTAAATTTTTTCTAAAATTTGATGCTATTTCAAACATTTTTTGCTTTCATTCAATTTTTTGCTTTCATTCAATAAAATTTAAAAAGAAAATGTAAAAATTATGGGGTTTGGCCTTGTTGCAGTTTTTTTACTCACCCTGTATATCTAGTTTTAAAATCCCTTCCAAATTTAAAAATTCTAGCTCTATCCGTTCATCAAGTCAAATTAAACCAAAATTAGTACATTTTTGTACTTTTCGAACCCTTATAGAACGAATTTCCAAAACATACAGCGTTATCACGCACCTCCGCCTCAAGGTCGACACTCACCCAAAATTTCAATATTTTAGTCTGGTCTTGGCTTTCATAATCAGTCAACATGCTATCGTATTTCATTTCATTTCTCCACACAGACTCAACAATTATTTATTTGTTTATTTCGTACATTCGGTAACATCGTATCCTTGGCATTCGATTGGCTTGTTGCCAGATAACTTGTTGATATAAAACCATATCGTTTACACCTGTTGCATTCTTGCGTGATTTGGTGTCGTCTTCCGGTTGTTGAACCATGAAAACATTAAAGTTGGAAGTAAATAAACAATAGATCTACACACGCTCCTAGCCAGACAATTGGCAGACAGGTAGGCATGACATGCAGGACTAAAAGTTTGTAAACAATAACAATAGGATATGATATATAAAGACACCGTCTATGTCTGCGATAAACGTTTAAACCTTGCGTGATAAAACTTGCCAAAAATAAAAGACAACGGAAACGGAAATAGAATAGAAATTAAAAATGTTCAGATAAAGCCACAGACAACAACTGGAGTGAAGTGAAAATGCAGAATTATATTGGGTAATAAAATTGTGCGATAAGGCGAAAATTAAAACGAATTTATGGTAAACTATTTGGCAGAGTTGTCTGAAGGACCCCCTCCGTAAAGGTCACCTTTGTGCCATTTGTTGATCAATTGGTATGAAAAAGTTAATCATTTATTGGTTATGACTCCCGAAATGCTATCGAAAGGCATTGTCGTATGTGTGTCGCTGATGCTTGGGAGCATTTAATATTTACCGAGTTTTTTGAATGCCACCAAAAGTATCGGGCTGGAATTCCTGAGATAGGGGATAGGCATGTTGCTTTTGAGTTGCAAGTTTCTATTGCCTGTGAAAGAGAAAACTATTTAATAAGCTCCCGGAAAAATTTAAACACGTGCTCCGGAATATTATCACAGCAATTAATTTATTAACTTCTCAGGTGGGATAGGAATGCATATTTATATTTTGGAGTAACTAACGACCTATCACAACAATTCATAACAAATAACTATCCTGCGGAATGGTTGTTTGTGACTCGTAACCTTGGTGTTTGTTGATG